TATTTGAATATTTTTACTAATTATTTAAATATTTTTCGCATAACAATGAATTTCAATAATTCAAACATTACGGTAAGTTGCATAGCGACATATCAGGCAAAAAATTTCACTCTGGTAAATTTTCTTACATTTTGCCTTTTTTGAAAGATTCTAACTTAAATAAGTGATAAATAACTATACATGCTGTAATGAAATGTATATTACTTCATAATTATTGGAATTTATGTAAAAGGTTATTTTAAATCTTGTGAGTACGCTTGCACAAATTTATTGTTGAATGATTAATGTGAAACATCAAAAGATTTTTCTTAGATTTGGTTTAGTATAGTAAAACGGACTCTCGTTTGTTTACTTATAATATAAAAAATATGAATTTCTTATAATAATAGTTCTTTGTATATAAAATTTAAAATAATAGAAACTACATTCATGTATTAATCATATTAAACTTTAATGACAATTCCAAAATTAAAATTAGTATAATTAATCCAAATTATGTTATCTTTAAAATTATAAGAGATTTCTACTTCTGTAAATTTTCTTATTTTTTACATATTTTTTTATTTATTACATATTTTAATCTTAAGGAGGCGGTGGACCATAAATGCAAAGTAAGAGTCATTATATTGTGTAAGCTTCTTTTGTAAGCTTCTAAGCAATAATAATACACACCCTTTTCTTTACGTGTACCTCTTTATATTAGGTCGGGAAAAAAGTTTCTTCGTATTTTGTTTGTATAAAATTGAAGAAAAATCTTTTTAGTTGTACTGTATATCTGGCTAGTTTTAATATTTCAGTTGCACTCTTTCCTGTCATTTTCATTTGTTTTTCTGTCCGCCAAAATGAGTAAATCTAATGAAGAAATTCGATACATTCCGACGTTTTATTGCAAAAAAGGGAGAAATGCGACTCAAGCCGCGAAAAAAGTTGTTAATTATTAAAATAATTGATCAAAATAAGATGAGTGGTCTTCTATCGTGATAACGCCAGACCACACACATCTTTGGCGACTCAGCAAAAATTGAGAGGGCTTGGGTGGGAAGTGTTAATGTTAACCATATAGTCCTGACCTTGCACCATCAGATTTCCACCCTTTTCGGTCTCTTCAGAATTCTTTGGGTAGTGTTAGGTCTCATTTTTTGATCAAAAATTCCAAGATTTTTACGGCAACGGGATTATCTCACCAGGTAGGTGACAAGATTATTAAATGCAATTAAACTTTGAAAAAAAAATATCTTAAATTTGTATAAAATACGAAGAAACTTTTTCTCCGACCTTATATTATGTCCGCCAGAATTTGAGTTTTTTTTTTGTTTATCCCATCAGCCTAGACATTTAATTTTCTCTTGTAGTGTGTTAATTAATGATGTGCTCTTATAATAGATGTTCATAAATTTATTTATTATTTTTAACGGTTTAAATTTAGCATTATGATTTTTTACAGGGTTTCTTCAATTAATGAAATTCATTTCTGAATTATTCTAATAGTTTGTCCCTTCCGTTTTCGAAACCCCCGTTTTCTTATAATTATAACATTTTGATAAAGACGTTTGCAGCAGTTGATGCAGTTTACTTGTAACATTTACATTGAAAGAAATGTTAGACGCCCTCGAGTCTATTTTTATAAGAAAATCACGTATCGGTAACTTGCAGACTAATAAACGTTAAATTATAATTTCACTATCTAAAACTCAAATTAGCTATGCAAACATTCATTACCAGTTCAAAATTATGAAAAAGTCATACATTGAAATTATTAGACATCATCAGTAAAATATTTTTGTATAAAATTTAATATTTGATAGAAATTTCAAAAATTTGATGGAAATATATCAAAAATAAATATAAACCGTAGATAATATTTGAAATTAAAAAAAAAAACTCAACAACGTGCAACCTAAACCTTTACCTTGTGCTCAGTTGTCTAGGATATATATTGTAAGGTATGCATGTATGCATGTATAAAAAATTAAAAAAAATTCTGTCCGCCAATGCTCACCCAGTACAGGAGCAGTGCAGAGATGGACATTCCTTGCCCTTGAACCCTTATGGAATGAGATGAAGCCTGTGCCTAGCAGTGCGACGTAAATAATTGTTATTTCTGCTAGCGACTATTGTCATCGTCATTAAATGTAGTGATTATAATCGGTTGCTAAGTGTAATTTTTATGTTTTGCTTTTTATTACTGTTTGCCATGCGAGCAGCCGTGGCGAAATCTTCCCTTTGAGATAATCTCTGAGACAGGCCAATGTTTAGCTGTAGACTTTTGAGCGAATGAGAAGTTATTATCGTTATCTTCATAATTTATAGACGCGCACAAGGTTTATTCAATACTGTGGTTACCAAGCCGATTGCTAAACTAGCAGTTGTAGCTAAATGTCCCCTGTTAGGAAATCTATATTTAGCAGTAAAAATTTGAACGGCTGAAATTAATAAATTAATGAATAATTTTTATCGTTACCTAATATAATACGTAATTTAACATACATAAGCGACAGAGGGAAACAAATTAGGATATGGGCAACAGCGACTTCCTAATAACGACTAAAAATTAAAAACTGCGGTTTCCAACCCGTTTGCCAAGCGTGCCAACTATGGCAAATATCCCACCTATGAGATAATTTATGGGGGGGAGGCCTATGTTCAGCAGTGGACTGTATTACAGCTGTAACGGTGACGGTGTACTTTGTATACGTACAAGGTTTATTAACTATTATGTTATGAAACAGTTCTAACCAGAATAACGACGATGTCCGATAAATAGTTAAAAAGCCTTCATAATTTGGCAAACCAGTAATGTGGTATATAACTTAAATATAAAAATAGATAAACAATCAAATTTCTACAAATTAAAACTACACATTACCATACTTAACTTTTTGTATCTACTTTTAACTTTATTGACACATTTTATTTTTATTTGTAGTGTGATATAATATGTTATAAATATGCATATTTCGTTTCCTAGTAAATTATACATATATACAAGGTGTAAGTGTAAACACTGTTGTCACTAAAACCATAGGTAGTGGCTTTAATATAAAAATATTTATCCGCATTTAAAAAAAAGAACGCTATTTTCTTTCATAAAGTTTAAAAAGTTTCTGTCCGACACCGTCTGTAAATTAATGGATACCCTATGCGTCCGAGTGACGTAATCACTGTAAAGATCACCGCCCACTAGCTACCTACACAACATTCCAATTAAAACACAATAGGTACACATGTAACCTGTGATATAACTTTTCCTTCATACTTTCATCCTGACTGGCAAAAATTGAGGAATTAAGGAAAAATTGAGAATTTACTACTATAAGTGAAACCAAACCACTGGTTTCAATAATAACGGTGTTTACACTAACTCCCATATATATATATATATATATATATTTGATATATTGTGTAAGCCCTCAAAATACTGCCGGCTTTTATTAGATTTGCTTTTTCTTTTTAAATGTTGTGTATGGCAAATCGTCCTACAAATTATATGCACTTTGTTGCACTAAAGTAAGGCCAACGATACGAGATAAAGAATATAAACAGAATTTGAGAGTTTCATAACATTTTCTAATAAAAAATATTTACAAAAAAAATAATGGTCAACGTCTGAACTAGTAAATAAGAAAGAAGAGTATGAATCTGTTCCATTTTCACAAAACTTATCTTCTACTTTTATAAGACAGTACAGGGCAGTGTACTTACAATGTTTATCTCATTTCGTTGACTTTATTTAGTATGTTTTATTAAATTAAGCAGAGACTAGCCCTAAATGTTTCATAGAGCTTTTAAGAGGGACGCTATGATCGACAAGAGGTATTGTAGAGCGAAACCTCTATTGCAAGAAGTACTCAAAAGCCGGTATCCATTAAGAGCTGTAATACTAATAAACATTCAAATCTTTAGTGAAAGCGACTGATTATTAATTAATTCGTAACTGCTGACAAAAGCGATTAAACATCACACGGGTAGTGATGACAGAGATAACGCTCTAAAACACTGAAAGTCTCTAAGATTCGATGTCTTTAAGCACGTATAAAGTAAAGTAGTCGAGTAATTAACTAACTTTTAAATTTAATTTAAGTACTTAGTTTTAAGTAAAAATTTACACGTTATCAACACTTAATATTTGTTAAGCTCTTTAGTTTGTCTGAGATAGGCGACCAACAGCACATTCCTGTCATAAAAAATCACTCATATACAAAGAAGCTATTAGCGCACTACTACTATTAGTACATACTAACTATTAGCAGGAGAAGATAAACAAACGGTAAATTAAAAATTTTGTAAAACAAATTTTAATATAAATAAAATGAGAAATAAATAAATAAATTTATTCACAAGAAATATGGTACAAAGATGTTCTTATAAAATAATAATGTATCACATATTTCACCAATTTTGGTATATGAAAACTTATTTACTAATTAAGTTATGGTTAGAATATACAAAATTTAAGTAAAATTAAACGTGCATCACTTTACAATTTTAATATTAATCCTTTAAAACACAATCAAATAAGAAACAGCGTTTAACATTCAATAGAAACGTTGTTTTATTTTTAGGTCATTTACCGAAATTTATTTATTTACCATTTGTTTTTCTAAAAGCCACTTTAATAAATCACGTCTAAATCGATTATAATCCAGTTGCCTTATTTCATTTGGGATTTTATTAAACACTTGAATAGCCATCACATAGCAATTTTTTGAGTACAGGCTAGTTTTCAATGAGGGTAAAATAATTTTATCTGGGTATCTGGTATTATATGTTACTGTATCTTTTAATCTAGTAGAAAATGAGGGTACTTTTTTTACGAATATTGAAAGTTCAAAAATGTACGTGGATGGTAGCGTAAGAACATCATCAATGTAGTCGAAATCAATTATTTAAGTCACTTAAAATTAATTACATTTTAGTTAATTACTTGACTACTCATTTAAGCGTGCAAATGAGTTGTAAGGCTTAAATGGCATAAATAACGTGTGTATGTGTGTGTACAGAAAATGAAGCGCACGGTGGCGGAGGTGCTGGTGCCGGGTGTACTGCGGCTGTACGCGCGCATGCGGCGGCACGGCGGGCAGCTCGCCGCCTACCTCGTGCGCATCGCCACCGACCTGCTCAGCGACTACCGCCACGAGGTGCGCCCCCACCACCAAACAAACGTTCTATTTGTTTACCATCACCACCAACACATTTCTGCAGCCAAATTGTACAACCTATTTTGTATTGTACTAGCGACTCGTCCCAGTTTCGACTGGATGATATTTTTCAATCTTGTAAATCAGAAGGTAAAAGCCAGCCGTCCTCTCTATTGAAATTAGGATATTTTTTTCGCTATCTGCAATCTATGAACACGTAAAGGATCGCCCCGTCACTACATCCAATTTGATAGACTGCAACTCCGCTAAAGAACACCGATTGCTCCCAATGATAATTCGCAGTTATTGAAGTAAAAAAAAAAACTTGATCAAGAGAAAATGGTTAGTTCTTATTTATTTATTTTAAATTATATCTATCTTCTATTATACAACATGTAACATAATTAACGCACTTTGAGAAAGTAGTTTGTTCAGAATCGTTTACTGAATCGATTCCCATCATTTTAATATAGGAAATTTTTTTCCCAAAAATAATTAAAACTACGTAAATTACAGTCACACTAAATCTGTACAGTACAAAACAAACTGAAATGGACCGTAACTATGACAATAAGATTTTTAAGAGTGCAGTTTTATTTGTATTATTATTAATTCTGTCATTCAATAAATAAAAATAAAGAAAAATGAACTTTATTTCAAGTGCGTTAAAGTCTTTGCGTTCGTGGATTTTTACTGTGACCACAACATTCTTCCGGAATTAGTATAACTAATTTGATAAATAATCAGTGCATAAATATGTTTAACTAAAAATCCAGTGTATGTATTATGATTATAACATAATATACTAATTGGGGTGTCTGAGGGTGTGCGTTAATTACGTTACATATTGTATACAATTATATTTATTATCTTTACATTAACATATTCAAATATGTTAATGTATTGTGAACATACATTTAGTATATTTTTTTAAATATTTGACATAGATACCTTTTAAAATATTCAAATAAAAATATCATTAAAATGAAATTGTGATATAATAATATGTAATATTATGTTAAATAAGCAAATACAATATACAAAATAAATGACAAAATTTAAATATTGTTCTCGATATAATTTACCTATTTAACAATATACAACATATATACTAGCAATTTGTTTGTGGGTGAGACAAACATGATATATAATTGCTAAAAAAGGTAATTTTTATTTGTAAATAACAAAAATGTAGTATAATTTTGTAAATATCAATCAGTGTAGCTTGTAAATAAGTTGATTTCGATATTTTAAATATGCCAAAATGTTGTAGTAGAAGGTGGGTATAAAAATTATTACCTGTTATAGTCAACCAAATATATACATTTTGACAGCTGTCAGACTCATTGCACCAAACATGCCAACCAAAAAATGGAAACGTACAATATTCGATTCTTAAAAAAAATCGATATAGATTTTTTAGAGTTGGTAATCATTTACAGTTTGGTTTGAATAATACCAGAATAAATTAAAAATGGAAAATTTAAAACACAAGATTTATCAGTTTCTTCGTATTTGTTGCTACTGCTTATTTCTAGACGCACAGTTATAAAAATTTAAGACTGAAATGATTTATTTTAAATTGAATATAAATTTATTCAATCACTTTCAGTACAACTAGTTGAGTTGTCGATAATTAGATTAATTATTATTTGATTTTCAATAATGCAGTCAAAACTAATATCTCTTTCAAAGTCATCCATAATATTATTTTTTTGTTTTTTCTACCACTTGCCCATGATCCTTTGTGACATGGGCATATGCTTCAACGAATGTAGAAGAAACAGTCCAAAAAGTTAAAGCAGAGTCACAAAATAAGAAGACAAAGTACAAAATTACGCACACTAAGCTCCCGAAATGGCGGGATATTGAAATTACGTAGTGGTATTTTCAGCGCGGCTTTGTATGCGAGTTATTTTGCCTACACAAATTTACGGTTACAAAGTAAAAAAATAAACTTGTTTTATTCATGATTCATGTTATTAAAGGAATTTTAAAAATAAAAATTAAATTATACAAATAATATAAAAAAATTCATGATTCGATTATTTAAATATTTTCACCGATTATTTGAACACTTTTGCCGATTATTCGCATAAAAAAGTAAAGTAAAGTTACAGCCTATATACGTCCCACTGCTGGGCACAGGCCTCCCCTCATTTCCGAGGTTTCTCTTCACTTCTCATGTTGTTTTTTGCAGGTTTCCTCACGATGTTTTCCTTCACCGCCGAGCACGTGGTAAATCAGCACTTATAATTGCAATTAACAATTTCATTAGTGCCGGCCAGCTCCCGTTCTGTTATATTTGCAGCGAGCGTTAACCATCTGAGCTACCACGGCTCTTTTTTATATATGTTTATTCGCATAACAACGAATTTCAATCATCCAAATATTACGGTAATGTACATAGCGACATAACATTGAAACCACGTCAAGTATAAAAGTTGATACTGGTTATTTTTTGCTTTGTTTGAAAGATTCAAATTTAAATTAGTGATAAAAAACTATACACGTTGTAATGAAATATAGATTACTTCATAATTCTTAGGATTTACGTAAAAGGTTATTCTAAATCGTGCGAGTACGCTTGTGCAAAGTTATTGTTAAATGTTTAATGTGAAACGTCAAAAGGTATTTCTTAGATTTGGTTGACTATAGAAACTCTTTATCAATTCATTATAATGCAAGATGAAATTTAACAAGTTCAAAAACTTTATTAAACTAAGTTTGTTTAAGGTGGAAGCGCCGGCCGTCCGTCCATACATTTTTAAATCAAAATATACACTAACACAGACACTCTTTCTTTAAAGCTAATCATTTTATCACTTCTCTACAATGAAATGTGTACGCGTTTGACCTTTATAGGCAATAACTTACATTATATACTGAGAAAAACAATAGTGAAATCCCGGAAAAATTTGACACTTCTTTAGTAGTGTGCGTGGCTTTTGACAAGCAAACGAAAGGCGACGTTTAAAAATTGGCACGCTAGATGGCATGCAAATGATCTTAAATAATTCTGATAAATCAATATCTTAAGTTCAATAATTGGTTAATTTCCTTTCCAACCGTTAAAAAACAGTATAAAATAAGATAAAACTAATGACCTTAGACAACTATGTTTTTTTGTAAACAATTGTATTACTTATTATTGTTGTGTAGCAACATAAATATCAAAAGTGGTAGGCAGAGCGACGATGCCGCCCTTACTGACCTTGAATTGACGAAAAAAAGCGTTGCCAAACTTCGTTCACTTGTTTCACTTGTTATAAAATACATTCTGATTTCGGTTGTCATGCGCTATGATTTGCGCGCGGAATTTCTTGTGTATTATACATATTATTTTCATTGGGTCGAATTGCAATATTTTTGGGATGTAAACACCAGCGCTCTAAAAAAGAAGTATAATTCCGCCTCTAGGTCCTTCAAAAGAGTCATTGCCAAGGCAAAGTCAGAGCACATAGGCAGAATTGGCGAGAAACTAGTTCGTCTTCCTTCTGGAACCCGTACATTCTGGTCTCTCGCCAAGGCTGTCCAGGGGAATTTCTGTCAGCCATCTCTTCCATCTCTGCACAGGGAGGACGACTCATTGGCCCACACCGCAAAGGAGAAAGCCGATCTTCTAGGCTCTTTCTTTGCGTCTAACTCGACTCTCGATGACGGGGGGAGTACTCTAGTATATATTTGAGACTATATTGTAATTTATCGTAGGTATAGTAATTAATTATTCTAAAAACGCAATTATGTTTTCGGTGGTCGGGCCCGTGATTTTTTTTGAAATATCGTCACAATACTGATTACCTACGTCATTCGTATCAGTGTTTTTATATGAATGTGTTTGAATGTGTTTTTGGTCAACAATAAATACAATTACATATTTATAAATCGGTAAACTACCTAAGTTTAATTTTGTGACTACTTAAGTACACTTGCAAACATTTGCTAAATATGGTTTTGCCGGGTTACATTAAACACCTTTTACTCATTTTGCAAACAGTTTCAGACAGACGCACGTTATTAGTTTGTTATATTTTGTAGAGCTCAGGTTCAAGGTTATGGTGCGTTCAGAAACAAATATAATTCAGTTACATAAAATCCTGTTTTCTGTTCCGTGCTTTATTGTTTATAAATAAATATCTTATTCTAATCTGAGTTATATTAGGAATATAAAGATAACATTGAAATAAAAAGATAAGTAAATTTTTGTACATTTTAGTGTTATAGATCTTGTGTTCCGAACGCAACGTGATGTACCACCTTATCTTTATCACAAATTAGTGTGATCTCGCGACGTACAATCAAAGATCACTCGCTCGTCATGTTACTCTTTGGTTGTTCCCTACCATCGTACCATCGCCTTTCGTGGAAGTTTCAAATATTCTGCCTCTAAATGCTGGAATAACCTACCGCCACCGCTTCGTAGTCTGAAAACATTAAATACATTTAAAATAAAACATAAAACTCGCCTAATTATTGTTCAAAAAGCTATGGCTTGATATTTACCTACCTAAATAATTACAGACACTTAGCGCTGTTCGGCGAGGTCATACGGAAAGCATATGAGTGCATAGTACTTTTTTTTTATACTTAAGGCTGAAATAAAAGTGTTTTTCATGCTAGTAATTATAACCATGATACAAGTATATGTTTAACGTGCAATCATTATTGACTTTATTAGAATATTGTTTCTAATGATAAAATTGTTGCTTAAGATTATAGTTATGATTACATACCTGTGAGAAAATATTTTTGTAGGGTACCATCATTTAGTGTTTCTTCTTTTATATTATTTCCAACTGATAACTCATAGATACATGACTCTTATGGTGATAACAATACTTTTTACAATGTTTCGGACATTCTTGGTATTAGATCCAGTTTATTCATTCATGTAATCTATGTTAATTATTATTAGTCTATCAATGACGGTGTGAACGTCCGCACGTCACTTAATTCACAGGCCCACTGAAAACCAGCGCTGTAGTCTCGTATCGACTGCGGCATTAAGCTGAGTGCGGTCTGTTTGCCGTGTACGCCACACACACTTGTGTTGTGCGTAAAATGTGTGATGTGTTTAATATGTGATGTGTTTTACTATGTATTTTTTATGTTTATAGTTTATATGTACATGTGGCGTATTTGAGCAATAAATGTTTTCTTTCTTTCTTTCAACCCAATTCATATAGAATTGAAGGAGGATTTGTATATATATTATATATTTATGTTTTTGTTTTACTAAAAGCTTTTGTTGAGTGCATCTAAATTAGGAAATATTATTTTCACCTTCCTGGTTATTACCACAAAATATCCAATATTAAATTAGAGTGCATTGTCTAAGGAATTAGTTCAGCAGTTCGACTCGATGAGGCTACAAAGCACCAGTTCCAAATCCTGTTCGAAGGACCAGAAAAATGGTTGGGCGGCGGGCCTTAGGGTTCCCGAGTTCGATTCCCCCGGTCGAGCCTTGACCCTATTACGCGAGAGGTTATACTAGATGGACTGTATACGCGGTAAGTTTCTTCTGCCTCAATAAGATGGCGGATGTGGCACGTGGTTCCTTGACAATGCACTCGCTCTTCCGAAATCTATTGTTTGCCAAGGTTATGAAGGAATCCTGCTTGAGCACATTAGGAGAAATGAAATGGGGCGGTTAGCTAACAAACAAATACTCAAGCAGGCACTGAATTATAGGAAAAACACACTTACCGGGGTGTGACTTCGATGCGGCTTAGGCGCGTCCGTTGCTGTGATGCGACGTGAGGTGGGTCTTCGGGGCGCCCCAGAAATGTGATCCAGGCCAGTCGTGCGAAGGAAGAGAGCGGTGCGCGACGATATCTCACACTATGCGAGGCGGTTACTTCTGGAGCGCGACTGCTCCAGGTGCGGTTCAGACTAGCGGCGCGTGGCAAGAGCGCACTCGAGGGCAGCGCGCGAGCTTATATTGCTTCGGCTTTCCTATCAATGCATCTCGGTCGGGCGCGCTTCTCATTGGTTGAAAGAATCACGCCACCTTCTAGCCTCTCCTCTTTCCCCTCTCAGTGTGTTTACGGAAGGGATAATAGGTCAAAGGAAGGATGAACACTTGGCAAAATATACCTTCGAATAAAATTAAAATACACGAATCGTTTCCGCGTAACCAAATCGTGTTATAGATTTGTTATTATCTCTTGTATATGAATTATAGTTTCTTACGTGTTGGTTATGAAATGTCTAATTATTGTAATAATTGGTACTGTTACAAATCATCAGTGTTATTAGTTTTGAGTGAATAGGCATGTATCAGCATAATTATGTTGCTTCAAATAACTTCTGTTTTGATAAAAAATTCAATAGTGTAATGTAATAAAATAAAACTGCGTTATATTGTAATCAATGTTGACATAGTTTATTTCCCAAAGTTATAAATCAATTAAATAGTTTACGCCAACAAATATAACTTTTATTTATATAACAATCGTACATAGCGTTTTGTAGTTCTGCCTACCCATTCTACACATACAGAAAAATTAAAAACTTGTTTTTTTACATACACGCCATCTAGCGTTCAAGCTTTGTAAACGTAGGGATACGTCTGTGTGTGTTAACGACACTATATTCAATGACAGATGTTATAATCAAACTTTGTGTCGAATTGGGTGGATTTTTAGGCAATGACATGACCCATTCCAATAAAATGTATACGACTTAATAATTTTCCAATTATACAAAAACCCAAATAAACTAAAAATGTTGACTTCAGCGCCATCTCGCGGGAGAATGGCTGGGAGCAGTCCGTAGCTTTCACCTTAAAAAGGGTTATTATAATATTAAGGAATTTATGGATGATAATAACCCCTGGGAAGGGTGGTCGCTGCCAAGCTATTTCAATTTTTTTGTGTGTTGTTTATTGTAACATACATGATTATAAGCTGATATAAAAAAATATAATTTTCCCATTTGTTTAACAATAACTTCGGAAATAAATGGCCTAGAGTAATAGTTTTGACATCATTTTTTATAACAGCTCAAATACTAGCCACACAATACAAAAAAAGATATCTTAATGTTCTAGTTTTTTTGATATTTTAAAATAACTGAAAAAAACATTAAAAAATATCATAAGTTTTTTAATTTAATCAATCCTAACTCTCTCAAAATGTATGACAACTATGTGTGTTTCATATTTTTACTGAAAGTTTAACTTCTTAGCTTTCGAATGACACCAAATTGCTCGTTATCAGTGTCAATATGCCCGCACTGTCGCCTATTTTTGAAGGTAAAGCTAAAAATGAGATTTTTTTTTAAATTCTTGTAACTAAGCAACAGTGGGCTCGAACCCCTGACTTAAGGTATTTTTATCGATAAAATTGTCCATAGATCACGCACTTAAAGTTTGATTACTACTTCCCTGGACACACTGTATATTAGATAGATAAATATTATATTTTCTTTCGAGTAAAATTTATAATAGCGCCACCTACTTCATTCTATAGGTAGTCATTTTATCGAACAACTGATTGACACCCAAGGTGGTACGTAAAATTGACGCTAGATGGCCTGAATTTATGAAATCTTGAATTTTTGATGAATGTTTCTTTTTTTTCAATATGGTTAAGGACGCGTTTGCAAATCGAGCAAAATTATCCTGTATTTCGGTACATTTTGTGTCAAAACTAAACCAAAATAATTTTAAGATTGGTTCTTCATCTTCAAATGGTAGTGACTCTTTTGTTAAAAATAATAGTTTTTTATACTGTAAAAACGAACTTCCGGTACCATTTTTTACAAAATTAACGATACCGGCTCGAGTTTCTTGTTGATATTTTGATAATTTCGATGGAACCACAGTCCGCGCTCCATAGGCTGCATTAGCCACTTACCAATCACTTTTGCTTTTGTCACTCTAATATTATAAAAAGTGTTATTCAGTTAATGTAGCACAACACATATCCATCGGCAGATCGAGGAGCTGATTGATAACGACGAGGAGCTAGTGGAGCGCATCCACCAGTTCCAGGAGACGATCGGGCTGGAGCCGTCGTTCGGGAACACGCGCAACCTGGTGACTTCATCGGCGCCGCCCGACCCCGACACGCCGCAGTCGCGCAAGCGCGCCGCGCGTCCCGCCCGCGCCGCCCAGCCGCACAGGAAGCGCGCGCTCAGGATATAGCTGGCTCCCGAAGCCGCATACGCCATACTGCCTCCTCACCTTCACCTCAGTTTAAACACGGTGTATCAGTTTAAAAACGCTTTGATGTCAGCCGATGCCGCCACCCGTGTAGGTATTTACTATTTACGCCTTCCAGCGCAAATATGCTAGGGTTGTAAGTATATTGGGAATAAAATAATTTTGCATATTATTATAATTATAATCTTTTATTAACTGTATGTACATACTTACAGGTTAAAAACAGGTGTCGTTGCTATACACAAGTACATTCATTTCATAGCTGTCATATTCTTTAAACTGTGGTTTCACTCACCGAACCCAATAGAAAACACGAACACGATATAGATCGGTATGGAATTTTTCTGACATAGCTTTTAAAATGCATCAGGTATCATATGCTGTACCCCATAATGTGAACATTTTTCGTGTTATGAGATATTAAAATATAGATACTGTAAAAATTAAAGTAATCGTAAGCCGGTGGCCAAATGCAATCACAATAAATACAATGAAATAGTGTTATTTTTTGTTTTTGTTACTCTTTTTACATATTAAATTCAAACCGAAAAATTAAAATTGTATTTTTATTTTGTACATTATAACCGACATTGCAAGTCATCGGTTTTAAACATAGGAATTACCGTCTGGACCTTTTTGGTATATACATAGGTCAACATGAATCATGTATGGAAAATAGTGGCGTCACTCAATATGAAACATAATATATGGAAACTAGTACCATCTGTCATAAGACGAGAACCATTACAATAATCTGAATAGGTAAATTTTTAATAATGAAACATTATAACTATTGTTACGAGCTTGAGGTTCGTGACAGTAAAAACTGCCGATTGAATTACCAAAATTTACACTTTTATTACCGAACACCAAATAATTTTAAAAGACACTAATAATTAATCACACTGATTCACTTTATTTTGCTCCGAAGCTTCGCTTGTCGCGCCAAATTCAACACTACTCCGATCGCGGCTATCAACGGCTTTATATAGGGCTTTTCCACCGAAACATCCAGAATATTCCAGCAAATACGGGCGCCGATGGACCAGATGCAGAAGGTTCGAGTGTGGGGCCTTCTAGAAAGCTTAGTTCTTCGCTAGATGGCGCTGTTGTAAAAAATTCAGGAATGGAATTTTCTAGAAAGCCCTCCTCGCTCTGTTCCCCGACACTAGATGGCGCTTGTGCCAGGTACCATAGCTATACCATAGATAGCATATTCGTTTTAGATTTTCATATAACGTTCAACACAAATTTTTCCATTCTTATAAAGTTATTTACTGTAATGTTTTTCAGCTAATTTCGCTGTGAAAGTTACAACTTATATTTCGAGACTACTTTTCTATGAAGAAGTTTGGCATTATAGAATAATTATGAAATTTTCTATATTGTAGTGCAATAAAAAACAGTCATCCTATGTATATTTATTTATAATCTACGTTCCTTTGTTACGCCATTTTCGCGTGAATGTTATTATGTTGATTTTTGTATTTTTCTAGTGTAAAACACTAGAGTATAGTGTTTATTATAAAATTGTAATGAAAGTTTTTGTGTAAATATAATTTATCTTTTTACTTAAATAATTTCGAGTAATATATATTGAAATAATTGTGATTTTCAAAATCAAAATACAATAGACTTCTTGTAATTAAGTAAAACCTGACTTAAATAGAGAATTTTATATAGATTTTATAATTCCAAACTTCTTTATAGAAAAGTAGTCTCTAAATATAAGTTTTAACGGTTTAAAGAGTTGTGAGTGGGTGCGGCCGCATGCGACCGCTCGGGATTTGACGGACGCATGCGACTGCGTGGGAATTTTAAGGGGACTGAGAGGTTATACTAAGTTTGTATAAAAAGGGTTATTATAATATTAAGGAATTTATGGATGATAATAACCCCTGGGAAGGGTGATCGCTATCAAGCTATTTCAAATTTTTTTGTGTTGTTAATTGTAACCCTCATGATTGTAAGCTATTATTTAAAAAAAATAGTCCCGCTGGGCTTCTCGCAGATTCTTCTTCCCAGGACAGAATTTTTTTTTGGGAACCAGTAGTAGTAAATACAGTAAGAGGTAAATGAAAAAAATTGACTTTGAATAAGTATTATTTATAATCCATATTGAATAAAAAAGTTTTTGTTTCTTACAAATGATTTTTAAATTTTAATATAAAACCCAATATTACAGTGGAACGATACTCATTTTTTACAAGAAACCAGACGGAAATTGAAAACACTGAGCAATATGTTTTCGACTTGCGTAAATTAGCTCAAACGTGCGAGTTCGGGGCTTTAAACGACGGTCTTATAAAAGATAGGCTGTTATGTGGCATAACCAGTTCAGCTATTCGAGAACGGCTACTAAGGATGATCTAACTTTCGGTAAAGCATTAGAAATATGCCGAGTCGCGACAGTGTCGAGGGTGTATCCGGATAATATTAAACAGAAGCCGTTATCAGTATTTTTATTTAATAATAGTCAAGTGGTCGAATATGATGAAAATATTTGGAGTGTGCGGCATAGGATGGATTCAAGGTGGATATTGCGGCGAGGCGGACGCGGTGGCGGGTCGTAGCGGCGTGGCGACGCTCGGCCAGGCTGAGACGAGCGTGCGTTCACGGGTTCGACGCCTACCATGAAGCAATGTGCACATTGTGGAAGTGAACATAAAAAATTTGAGTGTCCCGCGTATGGAACAGTGTATAATATGTGCGAAAATGAATCACTGCCAGAGTTTGTGGTGGTGGTTGTGTGGTATTCAATGTCGAGGAGTCCGATGAGCAAGTAATAGATACTGTAAAATCTAGTAATGAGTATAATGTTAGCCTGATGATTAATAATAAGTCTGTTAACTTTAATTTAGATATTGGGCAGATATAAATATGTATATTGCCGTTGTGTTATTCTATTTGCCAAAAGTTGGGATCTGGGATAAAGATTTGCTAAAAACAAATACCAAGTTGTCTGGCTATTCGGGTACCGACATAAAAGTAGTATGGAAAATCACTTCAAAGTATATTACAAAAGTATAATGTACATGTAAGAATTTAAAATAGCAGACGTTAAGTCTATACCGGTCGTAAGCAGGTTTGCGTGCAGTGAGTTAGATATGGTAAGTCGCGTGATGTCGATTAAGGAAGACAGCGGAGTTCCTTCATTTTCAGGACAGTATGACGACATTTTTCAGGGTATACGGTGTTTATCGCGGAAATACAGTATAAAATTAAATGGAATTGTCGTATAGGTTGTTTACGCTCCTAGGAAACTGCTGTTCGCGATTAGAGATAACGTTAAGATGAAATTGGAAGAGATGGAAAAACAAGGCATAGCCAAAGTAGAGGGTCCATCGGTTTGGGTAAGAATTATAACTATTGTAAATAAAACTAACGGTGAAATACGGGTTTGTCTTGATCCGAAGAAATTAAATAGCGCGATCAAAAGAGAGTATACTTTAGGTTACCGTAACTCGACGAGATTGAATCAAAACTCTCAGGCGCTAGGTATTTCAGTACTCTAGGTGCGGTATCAGGGTTTCGGCAGGTGGCTTTAGATGATACTAATGAGTTGTGCACGTTCAACACTCCTTTTGAACGTTACAAGTTTTTAAGGTTACCTTATGGCATTTGCTCGGCGTTAGAGGTTTCATAAGAAAATACAGTGGTGGTCATATAATTAAGAACGCTGATATATGGGAAAGATTTTTTTAAACTAAAACACAAAACTAATTGCATACAATTTTCCATAATACCACTGTATTTATTGATATACATGATTAGCTAAAAATAAACAGACAAACTTTTTACACTACTTCTAAACATAGTGGGTGCGTTTGGCAGAAAGAAGCGCTTGTAAGCAAAATAGCGATCGTAAGCGGTAAGCGCTGTCAAATCGTAAGTAGCTATTTTCCTCTAGGACAAGAAGTTAGTTTTAACCGGGGAACCTAACCTAATTTAAATATATGTTTGTAAAGTATTCATAGGTATTAAAAACTTACCAATCATGAATTTTTAATAACATGTATATGTCTATTCATGTCATTATATTAGGTACTTAAAACTAATATTGCACAAAACAACTTATAAACTCTACTTCAAAACAAACAAATTAAATAAGCAAAATGGTGGATTGTGTCAGCGCTACTGAAGTTAGCAAACGTGTCCTGGCCTAAAACTGTTTAGTTTCGCCATTTTGCTTACAAGCGCTTGCTAGCGCTTTTTTCTGCCAAACGCACCCAGTGTTTCTATTTACTGGCTGGTCACGTAATTAAGAACGCTAAATAATTTATACCTTTATTCAAATTTAAATAGAGAACACTCAGTTGATTTGTTACTGTTTGTATAATTTTGGCGCCATTTAGTGCTGTAAAAGATTGAAAGTGATTGCTTCTTAGGAAAAAACAATGGGAAAAAATAAAAGTTGTGATAAATCTACAAGGGAAGTAATAAGAAAACTTCGCCGGAAGAATTGGTCTTATAAAAAGATAGCCGACCACCTACAATGTTGGAAAACGATGGTTTCCCACGCTGTAAAGCATTTTGCTACATATCAAACTAGTTTGAATGTTCCACGTGTACCTAAACAGAGAAAAACAACTCCTCGAGATGACCGAAACATCGTTCGTATGGCAAAACAAAATCTTAGGGTCCAATGAGCTGAGAAAAGAATATTTTGCTGAAAACAACCATTCAGCAATCTGCTGAGATTGCTGAATGGTTGTTTTCAGCAAAATATTCGCACTATTCGAATACGTTTGGTAGAAGAAAAATTGCACACTAGGATAGCAAGAAAGATACTCATGTTGAAAGTTTATGTAGAAAGCCCGGCTTGCATTTGCGAGAAAGTATGGAAGCTGAACTGTGCGACAGTGGAAAAATGTACTTTTTTCTGACGAGACGGAAATAAACAGAGTGTTTTCTAATGGAAAACGATATGTACGACGTCCCCCGAATACAGCATTCAACCGTAAGTACACGACAGTTACATG